CTTTTCTGTAAGGTGGACAATAAGTTTTAGATTAACCCTTGTTAGTTTAATGAATCCCACCACGGCTCTGGATATCAAATAGATAGACTCACATTCCTGTACTCAAGTATAGGCGGAAGAACAAGTTAGTAATCAAGGAACTGGGAAATTGGATGTTCTCAGTAGCATTCAGGGCTGAAGCTCTTACCTGTTTAAAGAGAACCCAGTGCTTGCGTTAACTGGATGATGCTTTAAATATGATATTTGGCACAGCCTTTTTATTTCAGATGCTTGGTCTACTCGTAACCGTCTTGGGTTTGACGATGTGCTTTGCTGAGAACAGGAACGTGACGTGCAGAACGAAACCTTCGAGCAGTTTGTTGTTGAATTCGTTTGAAAAAAACTAGTTCTAAAAAGCTGAGAGACTACTTGGATAAGTTTCCCCTTCCGTGTTGCAATGTTCACGGTTTGCAGAGCCTAAATTAGCGGGACTTCGTCATTATGTAGCACTACCATTCGAAATACCCAAACTTCTTTTGGGAGACATGTGCTGCTCTTTTTGGAATGTTGCGGTATCGTGGTATTTCCTAATGTTGCGCACTACTGCTCGACCTTGATTAACCTATGCCAGGTTTTATCAGAACGAATTCTTGATCTAAGGAATCAAGGCACATCACTAAAAGCTGAGAAGGACTTAAAGGAGAGTGCTCACCGGTGAAGGCACCTTCTTCCGAGCTCAGCCATAAGGTTAAACATTTCTGTCACAATGCCTCAAAGGAACATAAAAAGTAGGCGAAGAAGTCAAAATCCGAGGTGTCTGCTGAACGGAAAAACAATGGGTAGACTCTTGTATTTCATATTTCCCGCTAACACTAGAAGGCACCGGCACTTACGTGTCGCTATGGCCCTCAGGTCAGGCTGGTCGTGTGTCAGTGGTTTGTCCTGACCTTTGGTCACATATAATTTTGCACAATTCTTGTTGTGATCGATAATTGTTATTGATCGATTTTAGAGTGTTTCCTGGGTAAGTGCCCTGCCGATTACACGTGTCTACCGAGTGGGGATTGCTGCCAGAACAGTCAAGTAGTTCTACCACGTTGGTTTCTTTTCTCTTTTTTTATTTTCTCGGAAAAAGAACGGATGATGTACTTAAAAGTAAATACAAAAAAAGTTAACTGACAGGCTACCAGAAAAAGTTCCATTTCTCATTTGGTGTGAGGGTATTCCATGACACAGACACTTCCACGAAAATTTGCCTTACTTACGGAGACATGAAGATTTGCATGTGACGACGTTAACGAAACTTACTTCCTTAATGCGTCAAAGACATTTACATTCAGCTGAGGAATGCAAGGATTTCGTGGATCACTGTGAAATTCTCCATTGCGATCATGTCGACTTCATCGAGTTCGCTCGCGCCAACTGCGCTAAAACGTGCAACTACTGCTTCGAGAACTCTGAATTGCCGCCTGGTTCGTTATAGTTGATCACTTGCTTTCATCCCGTTGAATTGTAGATAAGGAAAACTTGTACAGAGTTTCAAGCCAATTTTACAAAAACTTAGGCACCGCTTGTTTCGAACAAATCGTGTAGGCTTCATGGGTTCATTGGTATGCACATGCTCTCCGAATAGGCTTGATTGAGCTTAGAAATCTGTATTATTGCCCAGCACTACGGCCTTACTGCGACAGTGATCCCTTGAAGTAGAGTCAGTGAATACCATATTCCTAGGCAGTCCGTCTTTTTTCGACTGAAATATTACCGTGGTCAGTCGGAAAGCACAGCGCATTGGTTCTTCAGAGCTCGACAAGAATTCTTGTCACCTGTTCCGGACTTCAGTTGGGCTCCTCAGAATGACTTTCCACTATTCCTTACAAGTTTCACTATCCTATTATTATGTATGCCGAAAGACAAGCTTTTCTCCTTGCCGGCCACCGAGCATCTCGTACAAGGTGTCCATTTCCGTATACTTTGCACTCGCTGTGGCAGGCTTTCGCAGGCCTCTTGCGACTTCTGAAGAAGGTTAGGTCTTTCTTTTAGAGATTCCCGTCTTTCTTTTGATTTACGAATCTTGAGACTTCATCGTTCAAGAACCATGCTGCTTTGGATCCTTGAGGTTCACCCCTTCATCTCCCATATCACCCTGTGTTTCTTCTGGACAATGCGCAGTAACGTTCAGTGCATTGTTCCATCTTTGCTGTACCGGCCCTCCAAGCCCTTCAAGGTTTGGAAGATCAGCTTTCATGATGCTGCCTAAGTGCAATGTTCTCTGCTTGGTGCAGCCTCCATCACTGAATTCTTTGCCCATCTCCTCCCTTTTCCTCTTGGAAAGCTTGACCGTTATACCAATTTGACGAAGCCCATGCTAGGAGCCGAATCTTTGCCAGGAAGAACCTCTGTTTTGTCAAAGCTGTTAGGAAATATCTTTTAACTAGTAAAGGAACGAACATCGTTTGTTTCCCTCCTTTGTTGTAGCTGACCTTCTGAATCTTCCTCTCCACGAAAAAGGTGCTGCCGTGGTATGTGACCAGGTCAAGAGCTTTCATCTCCTTTTCCGTTTCTGACTCCTATTACTCAGTCTCTCTGGGTCCTAACTGAGCCTCTCCGTTCTTTGCGAAGGTGGCCAGTCAGATCACCCACTGGTATGGGGAGATAGACCCTTGGGAAGATTCACCAAAGGGCGGAGGTGGTGTAGTGGTAAGTGGCACACCGTCTCACACGCATGGTCACAGATTCGAATTCAGATCGATAACCGCCTGGGCAACTTAGCCTTCCATCCCTACGGGATGGTTAATTGGTACTGGACTCGTCTGGGACGATTAAAGCGCTGACTTTTACATCGGCGGCCATCGCAAGTCATTGAATAGGCCCCATACGCATTCAACACGCCACTATGATATTGAACAGGAGTCGAATGCATCAGGCATCCCTCAGACAAGATTGGTTAGCTCCTGAAGATTTCGTCCTTTTTTATTATACCTCTGCTGGGCCGGTTTTGGAGCCCCTATATCGCCCTGTCACGGAGATTTTTCGAACCCAGAATGTCCCATGTGGTATCATTACATGCCACAGGTTCACGCCAGGAGGGGTTTCCGGGAATCATCACCACTGTGCCTTTAAAAGCACATTGACTCAAGGTGCTCGGAGAGCACAATTAAGTAGATGAGTTCGTGCGAGATCAAAGCCCTTATGGAAACTCGGCGTTCTTGTGTTTAGCCATAGAAATGTAAAGTTGCGAGCCGAGGCCGCGAGAAATCAGAACCTGATTTCTAGGACAGGATTTTCTACTTTCAATTTCTAGAATACTCGTGTACGGATTTGCTCGACGACTGCAATGATCGCATGGGCCTCTGTAGGGACAAAGATTTCCTCAACATGATGGCCGTATACTGTCCTCGTTCCTGCATGCTTTGCACCCACCCAGCTCCACCTACAGAGTGTCAAGAGCTCGTCGATGAGTGAGTTTGATTTCGATTTCGGTCGAAACCTCTGCCATACATTTACTGTGTGCACAGCCATTACTACCTGTTATAATGTCTACTACATCAACTCTTACATTAGAGGTGTTCAAAGATTTTCAGTAGTGCTTCATAATTGAATTCTTCCTCCTTGAAATCCTATAAAGAAAGTCTATAGCTTGTTCTGAAGCAACAATATCGCAATGGTTCAGCTGTTCATCACCCAAAAATTTCTGCACAACTACGAAGACGTCGGCGTATCAGAAGAGAATGGGCTGTGGGAGGACCTGCGGGATGTGCTGAACATCGACTTTTGTTTCACAACAACATCATAACGTTGACATATAAAGTTTCTATTTTAAGAGCTCGTCCTGGATAACTGCATCTAATTTCTTTAATTACCTATTGAAGTTATTACACTATATGACTGCCCGTCGTTCATCGCAAATCCGTTTTTTCATACCATTGATGACGGAATTTCGCCAATAATTGTAGGTATTCAGTGCTACGCAGGCACCAGAAGGTCAAAAACTGCAGAAACCGCTGCTGTGTTTCCGGTCTAATCCCTTGTCTTAAACCAAACGCTTTTTTCCTTGGTAAACTTTCTGGTTCCTCAAAGCATAGAAACTTGTGTTCCTAACAAAATTCACGTAATTCTAAGTTGTAATGCATAATGTAATCCTATGCAAACTTCAGAACGCTTTTGATAGCGAACGAAGAGCTTCTTCGCATTAGAAACTACTTACAGCCTCCGAAGGGGTTCCCAAACTCGTTGTGTATCGGGATGAGTTTCCAAATAGTCCCAGTCGCCTCCTTACTCGGCCATATGTACAGTACCGCTCAAAAGTCTT